TAAGATGGAAAATCAAATTTCTTCCTTTTTGATGAGAAAAGGACGAGAAATTTTTTCTTCTTGTTTCTTTCCTAGTTCAGTAATTCCTTGATTAAAAAACTGTAGGTGTCTGTGACAAAGGGAAAAGCGAAATGTCATTGTGATCTACTCCCTCTATTCTAATTTAATTGTCCGATTCGCTTTTCAAACTTAAAACATATCACTAATAAAATATTAAAAATAAACAAGAAAATTAAATATATATTCATAAAAATGTTCTAACACACAAAGCAAAACCGATAATTAAATAGGAATGGAGGCAGTATAGTGATATAGAAATTGACACTTCCCAGCAGGGATTTGAACATGTACTCTCTGTCCACAACCAATTGTTGTTTATTAAAATTTCAGAGTAAAGTTCTATCTTGTTGGAAAAAGTTACCTTAAAACAACAACACACACTCTCAAAAGATAAATATCGGAGAAGCATCGCGAACCATTAAAATCTAAATGTTCTGAAAGATGGGTTAGTGCTATGAAATGTGAGATGGAATCCTTTCGTGTTAACCACACGTGGAAACTTGTGCCAAAACCTGATAATTGTTCTCTTGTGGACTGTAAGTGTTTGTTTAAAGTTAAGCAAGAACCTGAAAATGTTAGGTTTAAGGCTAGACTTGTGGCTAAGAGATTTACTCAAAAGGAGGAATAGATTATGTAGAAATTTTTTTCCCTATTGTCAAGTTCACCACAATTAGAATCATGTTGTCTTTAGTGTAAGTTCGTGGGGGCGCAGTGAAAATCACCAATTGAAGGATATGCAAACAAATCATCGAACTATGCTGCAGAGAAGACGCTGCATCATAGTCACAGTAACAGATGATGGACAGTGTGTTATAACACTTCTCTGTCACAAACACGCATACAGAAGCAGATGATGCAGAGATCGTTACAGCGTCTACTGGGCAGAATGCTGTAACTATAAAATGCGTAAAAAATGACACCAGATATGTTTACACAGTTTGGAGCAAATTCTCCTAATCTGCGGGGCTCACGTCCGTGTAATAGCCCTCCACTAAATCACTAGATGCAAGTTACACCGGTACATAACAACATGATGAGACACACTTCTCCGAATTGTTATGACAAAACTTCTAATATAGGATTTCTAACCCGAACTCTATTCAGATCCGCTTTGGCTATCACATCTCCACCGAGATCACGAGGACAAATGTATTGGCAGCCCACTTGCTCAGCTCTAATTCATCTCCTGGACGTCACGATCTGTTTGGCGTTGAAGATCTCCTCCTTCATGTAGATCGTAACCTTCTTTACGCATGGGAAGCTCCGGGACGCGACGGGAACACTCTACATCAGCGTATATTCTTTGTTTTCCCTCTCAATCGCTCCAAGTAATTCACAGGGACCTGCTGCGTTTTTATAGGCCTCTCTTAACACAATCCTAGTAGGAATAGGATGGTAGAAGTTGGCTTGAACTCTACTTCCTCAATCTTGATCCACAAGTAGCCTAAAGAGTTGGGATTCCTTAGCATGTACAGCTGAAGCTATTATCATGTAATCACAGTCCCAATAGGTCTCTAATTCAGATTGCAGCTTAAAATCCCGTGCTCAGACCTCTGATCCCGCACACTGTGTTGCAGCATCGTGCAGTAGCATCTTCTGTGTCAATCTCGAAAACTGTAGCAACTCTAGAAGTCTATAATAAAATAAACCTTTCCTAAAAAATAGAGGTTTCTACCTAGTAAAACACCTAACAAATATGAGATTCTATTTTTCCAAAAGATTAGCCAACACCATGGAACTAACATTTAGTTGCTCAGTTTAATTGGGAATTAAAAAAAATGGATGTTACTACTCCTTTCTTTCATGGTGATCTTGATAAAAATATTTATATGCACCAACCTGAAGGATTTGTTGATCCTAAGTTTCCTAATCATGCGTGCTTGTTGAAAAAGGCTTTGTATGGTTTAAAAAAACTCCTAGGCAATGGAACATTAAATTTAATAATTGCATGAAAAACTTTGGTTTTAATAGATGTAATGTTGATCATTGCTTGTATTTTAAGAACACTTTCTTTGTTCCTGTTTTTCTTCTCCTTTATGTGGATGATATGCTAATCATTAGTCCTAGCTTAAAGTCTATTGAACATGTTCAAAATTATCTTTGCAAAAATTTTGACATGAAAGATTTAGGAGATGCTAGAAAAATACTTGACATGAATATTGTTAGGGACAAAAAGAAATCTACTCTTGTTTTAAATCAAAATTCCTACATTGATAAGATTTTGAGAAAATTTGCTATGTCTGATGCTAAACCTGTAGATGTTCCTTCAGCTGCTCACTTTGTGTTGAGTAAGGATATGGGCCCTAAAACTAAAGCTGAAATTAATAAAATGAAAAGTGTGCCTTATTCGAATGTTATTGGTTCTGTAATGTATCTTATGATTAGCACTAGACGTGATATTGCTTATGCTGTTAGTTGTTTGAGTAGATACATGTCTAAT